TGAAGAAGCAGCTAAACGTCTACGATTACTCGACGATGACTCGGATTTCAGCTGACGACGGCTCGCACCAAGTTTGAGGCGGATCGGCAGGTGTCCCATGGCCAGCCTCTACTATCACGCGTCCAAACATTTAGATGAGACGCCCCTCAAATACCTGTACCGGCTGAATGTCGCAGGCATTAGAGCGAAGATTTGCTACCCTGATCGGACGCAAGAAGAGAAAAGCGTACATATCAAACGGTTCGTTAACAGGAGCAAGTGTTGCCATCCCGTCTCACGTTGATGGAAGTACCGGAGACAGCCACGTTCGAGAGGAAGCATTGCGCACGACAACACGGCTTAGTCCGCCAGAAGAAGACGCTCTCCGGCTCAAAACGATTCCGTCAGAAGGCGGCAACGTCAACAGCCGTCCAGGGCCAGTGTCCAGTCTAGATGGCGACCGACGACTATAACTCCGGCCACGAGGGAGACTAGGACGACGACCAGATCTGTGATCAAGATCAGGACGACGAAGAACAGGCGAAGATGTTTGTGACGGGGCACGCGCCACAACAGGAGAACGCGCGTCGCGACTTCGAGACGGGTGGAAGGATTCACGATCGATCCAAATGTAGACAATACTGGAGACTACTGACATACAAGAAGTGCGCTGGTCAGCATCCGACGGACCACTGCCTGCGCGCATGTAAAATGTGCGGGGACGTGCATGAAGCTGGAAAGTGCTCGTTGGAGCAGTTCTTCAACCAGCTGCGTCTGTGGTACGATCGGCAGAAGTACGCCGGGATGCTCCCTCCCACCGCCGAGAAGATGTTAAACTAGGTCGGTCACTGGCGTGTAAACCAGTACGAAACGCGCGAACTATGTCCGTCGATGCATACGTTGCCAAGAGATCATGAGACGAAGTTAGTTGGCACACGGCAACACTGAATGATAATACATGAAAATCCAAAATGGTATGCACCCCACTAGAACGCGCTCTCTGAGTTGTGGCAATCCGATTTATGAATGAATACGCACGGGAGACGCCGCTGGACGCGATAGACTTGCAACCAGGAGAACGGCGCGTATACTGGGAACACTATACGCCGGACAAGTGGTACAAGCAAGCCATGGTGCATGGAAAGTTGGTAATCGAAAGGCTGTGCTGTTACTCGATACAGCCGCCGAGGTGTCCATCCTGGACACCACCTTTGCTCGTGAGGTAGGCTGCCTAATTGATACTAGTGTAACGCAGGAATGTGTGGGCATCAGGTACGAAACGTACTTCACTGTGGGGAAGACGTGCATCAAGTCACGCTGGCGGGCAACGTGGTGTACTACATGGATCGCTGGGTCAGGGACCACATCAGCCAGCACGCGATCTTTGGATTATACCTGCAGGGGTGTGGAATGATACAGCGGATGGCACAGCAAGTATCCCGGATAAAGCCGCATCCAGATGATCGGGAGACGACCTCTGCACGGATCGCGGATGCGTAAATGACGAAGTGATCGTGAAAGGCAACGCTCAACCACCTGATGCGAAGGGCGTCATCTGTGACATCAACAGCGCGTCATGAAGATCTCGTCGCAGTTTCGCGAGAAACTGGCTCATCTGATCCGAGGACTCCTCAGCGTGCGCATGATCCGCGCGTCGAAACCACCGTGGGTTTCCCTATTGGCGTCATCGTGAAGAAAAACGGCGTCCATATTAGACTCTGCGTCAATTACAGATTGGACAACGCGTTGACCCAGTTAATGATATATCCGATGCCACTGGTCACGGACCTCTTGGATAAGTAGTGGTGGCACTGCGCCTTCGATATGGCCAGGGGTTGTGGAAAGTTCCGATGACAGGGCGATCCCACCTCATTTCCGCATTCATCACACCGTTCCGGCTGTTGGAGTTGCTGCGTATGCCATTTAGTCTGTGAAACGCGCCGCAGATATACAAACGGTTGATAGACAACGCGTTGTACGGCTTCTGGAAACTCTCGCCGCCTGAATGTACCCACGACATTTTCACGGACGGGGTCCCATCCAAGCCTCGAACGCGGACGGTGATAGGTCGACAGTCCTATATTGACGACATTCTGACCGAGGGGAAAGTCTTGGGATGATTTGTGAACAAGGCGGACCGTCTCCTCGACGTTTGTGAGGAATGGCACATTTCGATTAGTGTCGAGAAAAGCGAGTGCGGAGTGGATTACTTGGGACATGACGTTTCAATAAACGGATTCGGGGCGAAGCCAATGAACTTGGAAGCAGTGGCGCAATTTCCGCGTATGCAAAAGAGGTTGCAGGTCGTTTATAGGTAGTCTAAATTACTACCACCACTTTATCCCAGATTTCGTAATCTTCGTAACCGTGCTTTACTCCATCTCAGTGCGCAATTTTGATGAACGCGTCACAAATCCGGAAACGGGTGCCGTGAAAGTGGGCTCACGCGAAACGCGCGTTTGCGACGTTCCGTGGCGAGCGCGGCGACCCCGATGCTAAAGCACTTCGATGTGGATAGACAACCAGTGGTGATTGTGTATGCGAGTGATTGGGCTGTGTCGGCTGCCCTCACTCAAAAACACGACGGAGTATATGTACACATCAAGTACACTAGTAGGCCGTTGAAACCCGACCAGCTGAACGACAACATCACCGAGAAGGTGATTATAGCGTTGTTGCGCGTCTTCAATGAATGTCACAACAAGTTTGTGGGAAGATGATACGCGGCTTGACCGACATACAACTTTTGGTTGGCTATTCCGGTCTAAAGGGCTTCAAGGGCATTGGTCACAATGGACCGCAATCCTCTCTCCCTGGATTGGCGATTCTCGGATCGGCAAAAGGAGAAGATGAGTTTTGGGAGCGTTGACCGCGAGCATCACGTCGAGGCAGTCGTTGATTTCGCATTCGAAAATATCGCACCCCGAAAACGCCCGCCTAAGCCCGCCGATCCCGGTCCGGAAAATCGGACCGACCGAAAGTCTTCATTTGATCAGTTTTGACGGGTCAGATCGCTCCAAACGCGAGGGTGATGCGTTCAGCGCCTTAGTCTGGCAACTGCCGAACTGGGATGTATTACAAGTCGCGTCTGGATACGCGGAATTTCTTACACTGAATGAAACCGATTGCCGAGGTATCCTGCTCGGCTCTCGCTTCTCGAAGACCTAAACGTCATACGTTTAGTAATATGCAGGGACTCCAACCTGCTAGTGCACCAAAAGGGGGGTGGACTGTAAATATCCCGGATTGAAGACGTTCAGACAACAAGCATGAATCGCACTGCGAGAATGGCTCGGACACGAGTTTTTGCATTACCGACGAGATTGGAACACAATGCGTATATGTTGGCCGGACAGACGCTCTAACACTAGCGACCCCACGTCACCCGATTTAGAACGTAAGACGCGCGGCCCAGGCCACCCCGTCGTTTGGTTTGAGTCGCGCGGTCCAGAGAGCGAGAGACGGGGGCGGGGAGAGTCTGTCCCGTGATCACTCGGTCAAAACGAAAAGCTGTTGATGGCCAAACCCAAGAAGTTTCTGAGCAGGAACATCAGCGAGCTGTGTGGTGATCGCGGAGCAATACGAAGTTGGGGAGAGCGGCTTGCTGTACTACCACATACGGGGAGTTGAAGCGGCGGAAAACCGGGTCTTAATCATGAAGTTGGTCGTGCCAGCGACCCTCTGACATGGAGTGCTGCAGCAAGTCTAGAAGGTGGACATCACGGCATAGGCCGGACGTACCAACGCGTACGACGGCATTTTCACTGACCATGACTATTCAGATGCGTGCAGCGTCATGGGTGGACTGCAAGACTGGCAAAGACAGACCGACGATCCAAGGGAAATCTCTTGGGAATATCATCGCGACGTACCCATTCTAAGTGGTCGCGGTGGTCCATATACCGTCCCTGCCCGCGTCACATAAAGGTAACACGGAGCTGTTAATCTGGGTCGACCTGTTTACGGGTTGCGTTATCGCGAAGGCAACTGCGTCACGCCGTCGCTGAATCATACGAGGATGCGGTCTTTAGACGGTTCGGAAATAGCCAAGCAATTTGCCACGGCCGAGAACCGGGTTTCATGTCCAGTCTCTTCATCGCCTTCAACAAACTCACGGGTGAACGGCAACGGGTGACGCTCGCGTATCGTCCATCCACAAGCAAGCCGGGCGGCAGAGCGCATGGTGCAGACCATTTACGAGGGCCATCATGGTGTATACCGCGGACGTCGATCAGCGCGACTGGGACGAGTACTCGGAACGACGTACCTACGCACTGAACCACCCACGATCGCACGCGGGATGAAACACCGTTTTTTAGTACATGGTTGAAATCCGCAGTCCACACTGGAAGCGACGCTAGCGGTCGGAAACAACTTGCATCGAGACACAGAGGGAGAATGCGTATACAACATTTCTACAACACCGCACGCGCACAAGCACTTGAGCTGATCCGTGAAGCCGTAGACGCTCGGGCCCATGTGAGAACGCACGCGCGACGGAACACGCGATACAACGAGGATCACAAGTCTAGCCGTATCTCGATCGGGTCAAGCCCGGGTACGCTCGCAAACTCACACACCTGTGGCACGGCACGTTCCGCGTTCCCGAATTGGTGAGCGCGTATGCCGTGCGTCTGGAAACAAATTGAACACCAAACCAGTTGTTTCCAATCGTGCACGTCTCGAAGTTAAAGCCCGTCCGTGAATTCTCCGTCGCGGCCAGAGATGCGATTGACGGTGTCAGTGTAGGAATGTTTCGACTTCGACAAAGAGTTCCTCCCGGAAGATAGTTGGGAGACGCGCGAAACGGACGACGACGTGTACGAGGCCGAGCATATTTTAAAAGCATGCGAAGGGCGTGGGACGTGCTATCGACGCACGCGACGCGGGTTCCATGTGAAGCGGTGAGGATACCGAGAGACGAGCTGGGTAGACGAGCTGGATTTGAGCTGTGGAAGACATTTGTATGATTTCCTGTGGCGCCGCGCAGGGCGAAGTCGATCCGAGGTTATCCCACAAGGTCGCGTCGACCGAGAGTTGAACGCCAGTGGGCGCTAACGTCAACGGGGACCGTCTATTGAAGGAAGTGGATGAACCCGATGCTAGATTTGACCAAGCCCTGGGAATGTGGTGAAACCGGTGAAACTTTCACCCCTTGGCGGAGCGTACACGTTCTGGTCCCGAGACTATAGGAGACTCGGATACACAGAGGGTCAGATCTTTGAGAACGTTTTGGGAACTCTGAGTTGGCGTGTGGCCCTTGTGTATAATCCCTGTGGGTTGAACCTAATATTCGAGAATTCTTGGTCTCGACCGTCCGTAGATAGTTTATAGGAAGTCTGTGTGCTTAGCGTGTGACTCACCCTCTGGGTTCACCACTATGACTGAAGCCAAACCCCCAGAACACACTTCTCTTAATAAGACAACCAAATACAATAGAGAGAGCTTTGAATATACAAATATACAGACACTACTTATTTTTATAGACCCTTGAGTGGGGGTCTGTCACGAGTCCTACTCGGAACTACGGCTCAGACACTGGTCAGTCTCAGTCGCTTCCACAATCACGTGCACCACCCTCAGAATGAGGAAAATACAACCTTAATACAGGCGAACTTTGATTCCGCAGTCTAATACAAACTCTAGGGGGACTACGAACCCTTAGAGAGCAATCGTTAACATGAAATGGGTACCTACCCTTACCGTTCACTTACAGCAGGCCCAATTGGGATATGGAATGCCGTGGATCTCCTCAGAACACCGACGTGTCTGATCCCTACCGCGACTTAGACTTAGTACAGCTGCAGATCCTCACGCGGCACCCTTAGCACCTGTCCTGCGCGCCTTACGAAATCACTTGTGATTCACAAGGTAAAAAGCTCTATGATTATCTTCTCTTATACTGCTAAATTTTTCTCTTGGTATCCTATGTTCCATATTTCACTTGATCGTTTTGGATCCAGGGTAAATATCTTGGTTTAAGTATACCTAAGTACAATCATCATGATTGAACTTCAAACACACTTGATTCCACTATGTATCCACGTTGCATCATCAAGAATGAGGCACCTCACCACCTCACTTCGCACTAACTTGTCACCACTTGATCGCGTTACACTTCGAGTCAGGTCTCTGATTCCAGAAGGGACTCCATAACAGATCGTGATATAGAATCCATCGAAATATACTTGAATCTCTGGATCCTGTCTTGTTTCATCGTAGAATCACTGAATCCATAGCGTAATGTCTTCATACAAACGTAGATATCCTTGGTTCCGGACACTTTGACGTCTGGACTCAAAGATTTCCTCCAGCATTCAGGGATTATGAGTCGGGATTCAGGAATTAATCACAGAATTCTGGGATACTTGGTCGGACTCTGGGGTATAGTATTCCACACTGCTTGTAGAACATATCATAACTACGTTTACTGCCATCTCCTCTTGGATCGTGAATCTCGTGCGTAAATAGTCCTTAGTGGTGATGTTCTCGAACTTGAGAATGACGTTTTCTGGGTTGAACTAAGGCAATACGGGGTGTTTGGTACAATACGTTTGCACCAACACTTTCCACAATCATTATTACCCGGAGTCAGGATGAGGACGAGTCTGAACTGAGCATCATAATGTTTTAGACTCTGAGGCCCATCCTTAGCTCTTATCCATGTCAATCGCTTCTCTTTACATTCCACAGTCACTTTTCTTTCCACACATTCACACTGGTGATCCTGTATACATTACCTAATTCCTGGATATCCATACAAATCCTTGCTTCCATGAGAAATTCCAAGTCGCTTCGTGTCAGGAAGATGAGTTGTGGGAAGTCTGGTACACCGGCTTGTCGGCCGAAGATAGAGCGACGCAAGGGAGGGTCGGTCTATAACAAGAGACAAGAAATAATGGAAAGAATGAATTCAAGAATAGCAAAAAGCCTACGTCAAAGTAGATAACTACTGCTTCTCCTACCACTGCGGCTGCCCGCGTTCCACAAACTTGGAAGCAAGATGGCGAATGATGAAAGCCGGATGCTCGCGTTCCACGGCGCAGTTACCAACCGGGTTGGGCTGAGTACGGAAGAAGCGATATCAAGGCTCCCCTGCGTCAATGTCAGCTAACGCGACCTCCAGGATCGAGGCCCGGAGGTTAGGGTACCATCGCTCGACGTTGGAACTGCACAGAGGAAACAGTAGCATCATCACGGCCAGCAACACATTCATGTCCACGTGTTCTGTATGAAAAGGTATCAGGAACGGTTGGAACGTACCCACCAAATGGTTGGCGGCGATTGACCGACGCGAGTTCCGACGGCGACGCTACCGCGTCAAGACGGGCGTGTTCGGCACCGGGAACTCCTCCTGCCTCGCACTCCCTGCACGTTTGGGCCAGATCGAGGTGCACGGCATAACGCGCGAGGAAGGGCTGAAAATGGGTGTCTTGAACGTCGAAGGTGAGCGACTGAATGCGTCGCGTGAGATAGTCACACAGACGAGTCGCGTAGAAGTCTTCCACCGCCCTCTCGGTCAGCAACGTAGGGTCCCAGATTGCCGGAATGTGAGGCGGCGTGATTGGGTAAAAATCCAAGGACGCGGGGGCAGATGCTCGACGCGAAGCGCGCGTCGTGAGAGTAAGATCTCTCAGAACACGAGGCCAGGGTGTGTACCGACTCCGCGTCCTCTCCGGCCCGTGCTGGAAAGGGGGGATGACGGGTGAGGAATGGCCGCACCGCAGGCGCAACATCACCAGTCGGTGGAGATCACGCTGGTCCACCGTTTGGTGCGCCTTCATTGCTGTCAGAGTCGCAGGAGAACAAGCGATCGCCGTTCGACATTGTGGGCCTACCACCAGCACGGAAATGTACCGAAGCCTCAGACGAGTTCGAAGCCGGATCCGACTATGGAGGGGAGAGTCGAGTTCGCTGACACGGAGAACGACGCGCGGGAGAACCTTCGTCTCAAGGTGCTGAAGAGGTCGCCTGAGAGCGCGAACCGAGGTTGGAGTGTCCCGCAGGACATGAGAGGCCACCCGAGTGCACTGTAAGATGCAGTGGTATCCGCTATCGTTGGGGAACGGCGGTTCTGTCGTAGGCGTTGAGCCCCACGGATTTCACGACTCGAGAACGGGGCCCATCGAGGACCGGTAGTGCGGGACGGAGTTGACGACGACGGGGAAGAAGCACCAGGGTGAGGAGGCGTCGCGGGGTCGAAGCCGGCGGCACTGATAAAGGCACACTCAAAGTTGGAGAGGGATTAGCGGTCGAACTACCGTGCGCCGAGGACGACGCTTGTACCGCAGGTGTCGTACATGCCGACTCGCCCGTGGGGTCACGGAACAGCTGGAGGCTGCGGTTGACACTTCCCCAGGACGCGAGGAGACCGAAGCGGGAAGAATGGAAAGTGTGGCAGCTGCCCGCCCCATCTCCGAGTCGAGATCAGATGGAAGAGGTGTGGTCACGTACGTAGAGGCCTCGACGCGAATTTCGAGGTCACGGACACGCCGGTTGACGTTGAGAGAACTGCCCACCGCCGTCATCATGTCATTCGCTCGAGCAACGAGTGCATCGCAGCCCAGACGTGCCGACTCCCGACCAGCGCGAGCCTTCCGTAGAAGACGACGCCACGTCATGGTGCCCTCGGTGGAGGCCAGATCAGAACTGTCGATCAAGATTTCCAACCGAGCAATTTCAGCGCGCGAAGAACGCTGACTCAACGCGAGAGCGTTCTCCAACCTGACCGCACGGGTATTCAGGCGACGTCCACGGACTTGAACCTGCACGTACGGTTGAGCAGCAGCGCGACGAGTATCCAATAGCACGGACCAGAATATGGTAGCCCGAGACGGAATCGGAAGGGCCGCTGACCAGGGCGGCGTCGCGATCGGGCTGCACCGAAACACGGACTGCTTCGGCAGCCGATGACGACGTCTCTAGGTCCCGCTGGTACGCTTCCGCGTGGGCCACTAACTACGCATTCATGCGTCGGAAAGCGTCTTGAAGCGACAGGTTGACTGCACGGTCCACCTCTAGCTCACGACGACTTTCGATCTAGCGTGCCACGAGCGTCACCCATCACCGCATCCGTGGGGTCGCACTAAACACGACGACGCTCACTCTCCGCGCGCAGAACCCCGTTGGGCGGTGCCGGAGTGGACTTGTTCTCTCACATGCACGATAGAAGCCTCCGCGGCAGAGATGTCGGCGCGGACGCGAGACAGATCATCACTCATGACGTCCATCCGGGATGCAGTGGTAGATACCCGAGAAGGCATGGGGGGCGGTGCGGGCGCGGACGCAGACGCTACTGCTAGCG